ATAAATCTGAATAGCATTTGTCCAACAGAGGGATAATTGCATGGATTGTGCTTATGAAGCGTTTGACTTTTATATAGCACACGGCACGGGCTTCCCATGGACCTAGTTAGATGATTGTCTAATGCTTCGTTGCACTTCTATGCACTTGCAAGTGCAAGATACTTTACCACGAACTTGAATTGAATATAGTGAACAAGTTAATTAAAACCTAATATGAAAACTAATTTTAGTTATACCAGTGATAGGCGCTAAACTAAGTTCGCTTTACTAAGATACAGCCCGTATCACTAGACCGTGGATATTTTGTTCAAGAGAAATACACTTCAATGTTCTTTTATTTACAATTATGTTCCTTAAATGTAGGATTATTCACAATTTACTTTGGCCATACTCTCGACTTCTATGTTCTTGACCGACTAGCTTAACAAACCCTTCCAAAAGTATTCAATTTATATACATTTTTACAAGCAAGTTATTATACCCAAATTCATAGCTTTTATGTTTAATACCTGTCTGCTTTTCCCGCTAATTGTTTCCAGCATTTGGTTTTTCCTTCTTATCTGGGAAAATTACTTAGCTGGAATTAACTGGATTTGGGATTTTCATACCCATATGCTGAATATGCATCATTCAATATTTGTAGCCATCACCGACATATGCAGGGTATAGTTATTCTGTCAAGAAAGGTTCAGAGACCCTATCAAGTATTCATGTATCTACGCTCATCACCGAAGGATGAAGGGTATATCCATCTGCTGAGAACATTTACAATACAGAAGAAATTGCAACCTGTAGATTGAGGACAGGAGTACAGGGACCGACATCGAACGGACAGATGGACAGACAAGTTTAATGTATTGAACGGTATAATAGAAGATGGATCCATCTCAAATCCGTCTCTGCGCTACAGCCGTCTACATAAACTAAATATGACTTGTACCACAACTAGCGCAGTGCATAAAAACTCATATTTAATTTTTTGAAATCAAGATGCCCGTGCTTTGCAAGTACCGTGTTACGCGACGGGCTCCTGTATATATTTTTAACAAATAAAATTTGTTTATATTCAATTTATTGATAAATACATTCCAGGCTATAAAAAGGAATACTTTTCTCTAACATAATAACCCATGACACAATCCTATCCTAAAAATTCTACCTAAATTCTACTTAATGATCGGGTGGGATTTGATCGTGTGATCAAATTGAAGCACGGATATCTATGCTATGCGCAAATAACAGCAAAGAAGTCGTGATCTTTGTGGTGCGTAAAATAAAGAAATTATTGCTATATAATTGAAATCGAATTTTGGTGACGAGCACTCTTCATGGAGAGCTGGATGGTTCTAAGTTTATCTTGTTCAGCATGCACTTATTGTCTGAATTAGATCCATGTAGGTGAGAACAATGCATTCTTTTATAAATTCTCTAAAGGATTTGAATGTCAAGTGAGAGGAAATTTCCAAGACTCATAAGCACTTAATGCGTAATCACCAAGGCGGGGCAATAGCGGATCGGGTACCTGAGCTAGTCAACTACAGCAGACAGACAATCTCATAGTTTATTGATTAAGATGTCAACGCCTTTCGCTAGATACGACTAAGCACCATAGGTGTACCTTAAATAAAAATTAATGAATAATACGATCTTTTCATCTTTTTTTCATTTCCTAATGTTGTAATGAGTTCTCGTAAGGTCTTAAGATTACTTACAATTACTCCTTTAATTCACGTTATAGCGCCTTTTCTCATTTACCGGACAGCCAGACAAGATGACACAATGATTTAATGCAAACAATTTGCAACTTTGTTAAATTTATATAAGAAAATAAAAATCATATAATTATTAACAAAGTCGACGGTTTTTTTTTTTGTTTTTTTTTTCAATGCAATGCAATCTGAATTTGTTAGCACAACCAGGAAGATGTACTTGCCTACGTACATCGGAAAATTGGATTTATCAATTCTTCTGTGTAAATACTAAACATACAAACGACCTACAATCGCAACAGCCCCACCAGCGACAAGAGTAAGAAAAATCAATTAAATTTTTAATTAAAAGCAAACAAGTAAATAAAATGGCCTTTTTCTGCTGCATGCTGTACAATCGGATACTTCGCACAATATTGCTAACATATTGTATAAACAGTTATGTCTCCTTTTTTTTTTTTATCGGGTGTATGCGTTTGTTAAGCGCTTACCGAACAGACAATTCACAGATCCAAGGGCCCGCAATGATCTCTGCTTGGCCCGCTCCTTTGGACGAAGAAATCGGAGATTGTCATTAATCCCATAAGAGACCAGACACAGGTATAACGCGACCAGTCACATATACCACATCGCTGTGAGGAGCAATCAAATTTCCTTTGGCGCATGAAAAAGTTGCGGTAAAACCACACCAAATATAGGCCGCACCAACCATGACATCCGTGGCTTATATACGCGCATTGAGGATATCTCAGACAGCCATTTATACAGATTCTTCGGGAGAAGAATCTACTTATCATATTTGGTGTAAATGCACACCTGTTTAGCGAACAATACGTCGCGACAAGAAGTGGTTTGGATTCACGACAATCCTTCAGTCGAGGAAATTGAAGAGCTTTCGCGTTTACCCCGTCGCCTCGTTCATTTCGCGATAATAATGATAGTGACAAATAAAAAACGATGAGAAGCCATTACCTTCAACATATAGTAATGGCATCTGTCTACCAACAATCAAGTATTTATGCTCTCATCTGAATGCGAGACATTTGTTGCTTCGAACGATGACAGCTTGTTATATATTCAGTACCAGTCTGGTCACGTAGTTTACGTAAGGCCACTTCTTTAACCATGATCAACAAGTGGACTCGCATAACATCTTAGAAGGCGCTGAGTATGCAATGAATATATCATAGCAAAGCAAAACAGAAATCTGGCTTTAGAGTTCGAGAGACATGTTAGCAACTTGCGTCTCCGCGAATAGGACTATAAGTGAAGTAGCTCTTCGCATGAACGATCGATCGTATTTTCTACTACAAAGTATTGCATAAATAGGATACATAGGTGCATAAAATATTTGGCGGAAATGGCTGTTTCCACTGCTACCGGTATCGAATCGGCCGCTAAACGGAAGCCTTCTGCGCTGCCCAGGATATAACATATGCTGTACCGTGAATCTGTACGGAATTGTGTGAGAAATCACGACGTTACGGCTGTTCGTTCCGAAAGGAATGGCATGAGGGTTTCTGTATGCAACTATGAAACACAAGGCTTTCACTTCTATAATTTGCTAAACAGACAATATTTAATATGCGGGGTATTCTGGATTCGATTTACACTACAGATAATTCTTTTCTCGTGTTCCTTGCTTGTTTTTTTTTTTTTTTTTTTTTTTGTAAGGACATTCAATGCAGACACATAGCATGAAATATATTATGAATCAAGTCATAAAAGCGAATTGTATTCGTTTGCATTATTTTGTTAGGGACACTCAAGACAATTGCAATCGCATGAATTTCACGGCGACTGTCAGTTTTGAAGCTTTTCTGTTGTGCATCACTTACTCATGTAATAGCTGATATAATAACAACAATCTAAATTAATCTCGGAATTCATTCGAGAGCAATATTTCCCATAACTTTAATCAAATATTTTTCTCATTACAACAACCCACTTACGGTCTCGTCATTTGAGGTGGAAAATTTGAAAAAAAATGAATAAAATAAGAACATTATAGTCGGATAAGACCGACTATTGGATACCCTATACGACTTCGTTTAATAATGTTTATAACTCGTTTTGACAATAATACACCAAAAGTTACACATTACGTTCATGCAAAGGCACACTTAGAGACAGTAGATCGTCATTGTCCAAATTCGGTGTCAATTGATTATTATGTAATAATTTTCACCATCAAATATCAAATATTACATGTCTTTACTATAAAACGATTCAGTTTTCGTAGGAACGGCTAAGTGAGAGAGAGGTTTTAAAAAATTGCCCCAGCCGAACCAGATTTTTGATAACGATATAGAACGTCGAAATACTATTACTCAGCAACTTTTGTCGAGATAGTTTGACATAACGACTTTTGAGATTACTATATGTCATTGTATGGGTAGTGGCTGCAAAATTGGATCGATTCGAACGATTTTCAATATTCCTTTTCAATAATCGTTGGGTCAAATAGGTCAGTGTGCCGAACATTAAAACCCACGGACAGACGGACAGGCGGACAGACAAGCTTAAATCGATATAATAAAAAGTAGGTGTATTTTAAGACCTTCTAGGCGTTACACACGTCCGCACTAACTTAATTTACCCTAAACCATAAATGGTGTAGAACGTAAAAGACCTTAAATAATTAATTCGTTTCATTTGTTTGTCTTCTACAATATTTGAAAATGTGAACGTCAACACTATATTACTTGGACTCGAGCAGCTATTCCAATTTAAAAGATATGCGTCCATTTAGAACTTAGCAAAACGAGTGGGCGCGATTTTGCTTAACATTCTCTAAACTAGCCATTCTACATATTAATTGCGCTTGTAAAGGCATCTTTGGGGGTGTTAAAGAAATTAAATATGAACATGTAAGGCATTAGGCTACAACTTCCAACCATGAGGGTAATTGGTCTACCATTGTCATCGAAAGTGAAACGAACTTAAAAAAAGTTCAATACATAAGTTCCAATATTTCTTAAAATTAACAACATTCACGTATTGTGAATAATACGTAAATTCTCAGTTTTGAACAAGAAAAGTGAGTGAAGATCTTTCATGAAATGAAAATATGTTAATAGGATTAATAAATATTAAGGGAGATCTGCTATGGGGATTGATTTCATCGAAGGAGGAAAAAAACCTTCGGCATTTGTTAATCTTTATTATAATTCCGGTGTCACCTATTTGTTACATATACGAACTTAAAGAGAGCATCTTTGGTTAAGTTTATTTAACAGTGGAACAAAATTAAGT